TGCTTCAGTGCTTGTAACTACCACTGCAAGTGAGGAAGCAGAGTAATTTAGAGTCCCTAGTGCAGGATTTATACAGGCATTTCTGTTCCCCAACAGAAGGAAACATTGGGGAATTCTAAAGGAACATTCAGAAGCTGCCATCACGTCCCTTCAGCATCTCTCCTAAGGGCCTCCTGTGATTATATCTCCAGATAGTCATAAATAATTGTCAATGAATGTGCTGTCACTGTCTGTTGCTATATGTGCAAAATAACTCCAGCTTTTTATTCTTACAACTTAGTGAGGCAGCTGCAACATTACATATATAATTTCTCTTGCCTTGGTCAACTGGGGAAAGAGTACAAGCTTTCTGCTTGCTCCCTGAGAATTACTAATCCCATACTGCTGTGCAGTGGATAAAATGTCATCTGCCTTTATATAAGCCTTCCCCAACTTGATGCTTTCTAAACTTGGACTTCAGTAAGGCATTTGACAAAGTAGGCCACAGCCTGATTTTTAATAAAGTAGAAAAATGTGGATATACAGCATTACCACCAGATGGATTCATAACTGGCGACATCAACAGAAGGATAGAATCAAGATCCTGTAAAATTAGTACTGTTTTATACTGCTTTGGTAAGACTACACTTGGAATATTGCATCCATCTTTGGTCACCATGATAGAAAAAAGATATTGAGTTTCTAGAAAGAATTCAGGGAAGAGCAACAAAGATAGTTAGAGGGCTGGAGGCTAAAACATATTATGAAGAGTTGCAGGATCTGGGTATATCTATTCTAACTAAAAGAAGGACTGGAAGACATAATAGCAGTCTTCCAATATTTGAGGTTCTGTCATATAGAAAAGGGGGTCAACCTATTCTTCAAAGCATGTGAGGGCAGGACAAGAAGTAACATATGCAATCTTATTAAGGAGAGATCCAACCTAGAACTAAGGAGAAATTTCCTGACAGTGAGATCAATTAATTAATGAAATAGCTTGCCTCAAGGAGCTATGGGTGCTTCATCATTGGAGGTTTTTAGGAAGAAATTGGACAATCATCTGTTTGGAATGGTATAGATGGTTGGAATGCTTGGGCAGGGGGTTGGACTAGAAGACCTCTATGGTCCCTTCCAACTCGGTTATTCTGTATTTTGTATTCTATTCTGTAAACTGGACTTCAATTCCATTACAGTTTGAATGTCCTGGGTCTCTCTGAAATAGGAAGTGAAGGAAAATAAGAACATTTAGTCTGTGATTCCTATCTTGCTTGCTTAAGTTATGGAAGGGCATTGGATGGATCTTCAAGGCATTTAGGGCAGTCATAACAAAATAGCTCAGAATTATAGGGTGTGAAGTCCATATGCACCTGGGAATTAAAGATAGCCAGTGATGCCATATTTACTAAATGTTAGTTTATTAATTTAATATTTAAATTCATTTGATTAGACTGGTTTTATAACTTTGTTTAAAAAAATGATTGTTTTTATATATAAGTATGTGTATGTACATGAAGCCCAATGTATTATCCATTTAAAAGGAGCAGAAATGAGAAATAAGCTCTTTGTTATCGTAAATGGCAAATAAAAAATGAATGGTAGAAACATGACAACAGATCTGCTTCTAGTCCTGAAAGGCTCATCAGTGACCAGCAAACATACAGTTGACAAAAATCTCAAATGAAATATTTTCTGAAATTACATAAATAAAACAGAAGGAAAAGTTAAAAGATAGAATTTGTTTTTTGGACAAAAAGACATTCACAGTTTTAGACTTGTTAAATATTGCCATTTCTTATTGTACTGAAAGCCATTAAATAGCCAGCCATTTCGACTGAAGGTTTTGATAACCTTTGAAGAACGTTGCTTTAGGCTTAGAGTGTTGAAAGAATGTGGACAGAATGAATGAATGACCTTAACATAGCAGAGACACCGGAAAAAAATCTGTGGAATAAAAGGCTGCTTAAAATGAAGATGGTTCAATGTTAAAGATTTTAAACTGAAGGGTCCTATTCAATCAACTGATTATTTTAGCAGATAGTTGGATAGCCAGAAAATTTGAAGTACCAACCACTGAAAATGCAATTCCTAAGGTTTTTGCAACCAGTGTTTCATTGCTGTCCTTGATTTCAAGGAGGTCATTTGTATGAAAGCAAGAATCAGAGCAATACATTCTTTGCAACTTTTCAGAGGTGGAAAATCTTAATGGGGCTGATAAAAAAAAAATCTTTTTTGAGTCTTCCTTTAAAGTATTTCATCTAAAATTATATGAAGATTCAACACTAAGCTCATATTTAAACGTATCAATGAAAAGAGCTTGTACACTGCTTTTACTTCTCAACCAACCATCTTTTCAGAAAACAAAGTAAATCTTAACATGAAATCTTTTAAAAACTCACCTCTTCTGGTCTCTTCATCTTGGAAGAGGTTCATGAGGGCACTAATATAAGTTTTTGGAAATTTTTGGAAACTACCCCGTGACAAGGACCTGAATACCTGAATAAAACTCAAGTTTCTACAAAAAACATTTCCATTTTCCTTCATAATGCTATTCTTAAATCCAGAATGAAAGAGTTCTTGCTTGAGATGTGTTGCAGCTGAGTCAGTAAGAGGTAGACTCAAAAAAAAAAAGAGAAAAAAATAAGAGGTAGGACCTGGTTAACAGCAGCAGTGCTACTTTGATACCATTGTTGGAGATAAAGTGGAATCACTTATTCTAATTTTGTTGGATGCTCAAAAGACTGTCATTATTGCTCAGACTGGATGCACAATATATGGGTTTCTTTCATCTTTTGCTCATAGGATTACAAATTTGTATTTTTGTCCTGTGACTAGAGTAATCATCGATGAAACTGTCTCCCAACTCATTAAATTATATTATGATGCATGACAATGATATCTTTGTCTCCTTTATTTTTTGATTTTATTCTTGAACAATTAACAATTCCCCAAATATTAAAGGTCTGGTGGCCCATTTCATCTAATATAAGTTGTTCTTATATACTAGCTCTTTGAGGTAACTAGGTGAAGAATAGTCACCATAAGAAATATGTGAACTCTACTTTGTTGACATACAGTAGATTATGACAATTGAATCTTGAAAAGTTGGTGGGGTTCCTCTTTTTCTCCCTCTTATATCAAAGAAAGTCAAGGCAGAGCATGACAATAGCCCAGTATAGACCCAGAAGCTGAAGAGAGGCTGCAGGGGGATCATCACCCTGACAGGATTCATTTGGAAGAGTCACACATAGGGGAAAGAGCATTGCTAGCAACCAGGAAAGGCAGAGATTGCTCGTCTCAGAAGATGAAGAGGCAGTGCTAGCATGTCTCCCCCAATGCAAGAACCTGTTGGGAAGAGAGGAGGGCTGAACAAAGGCACTCAGGAAGCTTATTGCCCTGCCAAGCTTTTGCCCTCATGCCATTCCTGCACTCATAGATCAGTTGACAACAACTCTCCACTTACCTCACCACTGTGTTCATCAACTACACAGCCTTTCCTCACAAGCAGTGAACCTGGGCACTTATATCATATTTGTTTGAACTTCTAGTATGTTGTTTATGATTTAATTAGCTTATATCTAATTTAAGTTGGTTGACTCTTTGAAGACTGGGTATTTTGAGTGTGAGGGCTGTTGATTGTTTGTTCAAACATTTTTACCATTAGAATTCTGTTTGAAAAATAAGGCTTAACCACATGTCTGTGATTTTTGTAGGCTGGAAGAGTACAACTATCTTATTTCTCACCATTTCCTGTTTTTCTGGATTAAATTCATGTTTTCCTAAAGGCTGTGGCCTATTTTCTTCAAGGTTATTAATTGAAATAATCTGAAAGTACTATTTTTACCTGGTCCACATAATAGCCTGAGAAACTAGGGTGGGTCTCTTCTGAGCCTCTTGCCCCACCTACTATCCATCTGAAGGCTATAGTTAATCTTTTATCTGACTGTTCCCTGGGCAGAGGGTCTGGGCCCATTCCTCCAGGTTCTTTCTCCCATATCATTACAATCTATAGCTTCCTGTGAGTTGTTAGGATTTATATAGATTCTATTAAATACTTGAGTTTATAGCTTCATTAAAGTTTATCATAATTTATTGAATTAATGTTGTCCAATGTATAGATGCAATTTCAATAGATATCTTGATATTTAAAATTCCTATTAAGTCTCAAGGGTAAGATTAATGTTATTAAAAAGAATATTACATTAAGATTAATGTATATCTTTAGAGGGTTTCCAAATTAATTTTTATTAGATATTTTACAGAGATAGATAAGTTAATGAGATTTTTTTTAATGGCACCCTAAAGCCCTAGAATATTTTTGGCAACATTGTGGTTATCTTATGAGAATGGTGGCTTTAGTTTGCCAGATGTTCAGTTATATCACTAGATTTTCATTTTAGTGTCTATATTTTTCCTGAATTAGACTTATTATGGTTAATTTCCCCTTTGGACCATTTGGAGAGCAAATATCTTACACTTTTGAAATTTCAGTAAGTTTTACTTATTCTAAACTCAGTTCTTCATCTCCTACTTTGAAAGTTGCTACATATAAATGCTTATGTGCTCTAAAAATCAAAAGTTGGAATGTACATTGTGATATGGTTTTTAATAATAAGCCTAATGAGTGAATGATGAATGAATGAATGAATTCCACAAAGGTATTTATACAGTATTTATTATATGGATATTTCTGTTGAATTTGCTTTCGTATGTTTAATTTTTTTCACTCTATAATCACTAATTAATGAAACTCTTTTCCTTGGTATTTCACTGCTTTAACAAGAATTACAGTATAAACAGTTATCAGTTTTGAAAGAAAAGGGGGACAAATTTCTTCAGGGCATTTGATCTAATTCCACATAACCTCCAATCTGTTTCCATTTCCAGTACTCTTTTATTGTCAAGCTTCCTGACATGGGAGATTCAAGCATATTATCCTAGCAAATCAAACCAACAAATTGTGAAGGGTGAGATATTACCAAAGAGGTTCTGGTTGAACAGTTAAGTTTAATGCTTTTGATATCTTGAGTTTTAAAGTGTTTTTTTTTTTTTTTAAAAAAAAAAAAATAAGCTAAATCTATCCACCATAGGTTTGCACCAACCTCAATGTGAAGGCAGAAGATGAAGGCGGCTTCCTAGGGTGATATCTATGATATGAAGGGTTGTGGACCAGGAAGCTTGCCACTTCTCAGTTGGAGCTTTGCCTTTCCTGGCTTCTTTGAGAGATGGAGGGATAACTGACTGCATCAGCGATCTCATCAATACCTGGAATAGGATGGAGTATTGTCTGCCTTGCAAGAAACAGTGATATATTTCTTCTTGAAGGGATTTTCCTTGGGTCTGATCCAGTAATTCCCATAAGTGTATTTTAGAAAGAGTGGTGGGTCTTCAGTTGCAAGTGCCATAGAGGAAGTGAATTACGGTATCATTTTTATTCAGCTTTTAAGAGTGTGAATGGGATAAAAATCAGATGGTTTAACCATTGTCCGATGCAGCAAGAATTGCATATAAAAAGTGCACCTTTTTGCTCTGTTAACTGTAGCATTGATATAACATTTTATCTTATACCCTTAGGCTTCAGTGAAGGGAGAATTTGGAGTTCCTAGAGGTCCAGTTTTACATTAGATCTATACTTAGATCTAATGGACATACTTCTATCTAAGTTTGTAGTTCCAGATATTTGTAGTAGGAAATGGGGGAATCTATTGGTAGATCACTCCAATATGAGGCACCATAGAGTTCTTTTTTTTCCTCCCCAGCTGTTTAACATCAATATGAAGCTGTTGAGTACAGGTGTATATCCAGAAACCATCTAGTTCATAAGTATCCTGATGATACTTCTGGATGGAGTAGCACACCATATGAAGAAGCAGACCTATGACTTGGGATATTCCTAGACCATAACAATTACTTGTAATGCAGACCATGGTTAATGGAGAATTTATGTAATTTCAGCTGGTGTACCAGTTGTGGCCCTATTTGGAGGAGGCAGAAGGTAAATGGCTACACAAATTAAACGAATGAATAAATAATATGCATATGATGTGCAAATCAGCTATGCTGTTAGAGATAAAACTGGATTCGTTGAACTCATTTAAAAGCCCATATGTTCTTCATTCCTTCTGTGTACAGTCCTGAATGTCAAAGACCATTGGTCTGATTTAGTATAAGGCAGCTTCCTAAATTCTATAAAAGTACACAGGCATGTTTGATGTATGAATGCTGAGTTCTAGATAAATTCAAATAGTTTTCCCAGTACATTATCTTCATTATGGCTTCTATCCCCACTACTTGTGGCTCCTGTGTTCTTTTCTTCACCATTAAAAAAAAAAACTAAAGTGTTTTCCCTCATAAATGTTTTAATCATTTAAAGAAATCCCTTAAGAGACCAAGCCAATATTTCATCCAATATAATTCTGTGTTTCGCATTCTGTCTGTCTCCCACACTTGCCATCTAATGCATTAATCTATAATTCATTATTTCAGACTTGGAAAATAATAAAGCAAACACCTCGATCCTATTCTTTAAAGGTAAAAAATAATAATTAAAAGCTATATTTGGTGTTGCTAATCCTAGTCTTAAATTTTATATGCCTTGTCAAAAATTTAGCTAATGTCAAAAGATGCAGAATGAATGGCTTAATAGTTTGGAGTGGCCAATCTGATCAATTAAAATGCAACATTTTCCCTGTAGTGAAGAATAGAATATGCTACTGGCCAATAAAAACTAATCACTCCTACTCTGCAATTGTTGGTCACTTAAAGTCTCAGCTCTTCCATAGAGGATGCAATACTATAGTTGTTTGTTATCTGAGAATGTATATTGTTTCAATCAAAGTATAATTAACACTGAATTGTTGAACTTTGATGGAAGATTGGTGTCATTTACCCCAGGATGTAAAAAGGTTGGGGACCACTGATCCACACCAGGTTCCACTCATTGTTCAAAGCCAACATTAAACTTTTTAGCTCTATATTTAAAGGAAAATTATTGTCTACAGTTCTTTTAATATTCTACTTATATTTCATCCATTTTCTAAATTGCACCAGTTGGTACTTCTTCCAATGAAGATAAGCTGAGAAAGAGTAACCAAATTGTATTAAACCTGTAAATTTTGTAGCCATGGGAATTATTTGGAATCCCATAACACCATAATACTGGTTCAGTGAAGGCATCTGTTTAGAAGAATCAGACATTGCTTCAAAGATGTTTACAATTCATCCTCTGTTAGGTGAAATTGATAGTAGCACACTTCCTGACTTGCTTCAGGAGCAGAAGGTGAAGGATATAAGGAGGAAGACAGTCAATAATGATTTTGAAAATGCCAAAGGGTCCATGGACAAGACAGAAGGTCTGATAATTAGGTGTGCATGGAATGTTCATGGATAAGTGCATAATAGGACCCTGAAAGAGGGGCAATACCAAAAAGGCTGGGCATCGTGGAAGGGTCCTGTTACAAGATAAAAAGAATGAATGAGAGAGGATTTACAGGGTGAAGTTATATAAAATATTATCAACATGTACCACAATAATAAGTAGAATTTTTATTACAGTTTTTTTAAAGCAAGATAAAAAGCAATAGAAACTGATATAAAGTAAGAAAAAATAAATGAAGTGATTTTTTTAATGGGAAGATTAGGTATCAAAGCTACTAATGTAAAATCCTTAACTTCTGGCAGATTCCACTTTCTAGTTTGTGTTAACCATAGTTTGTGATAATGGACACCTATTCTCAACTGTGTCAAACACTGGAAAAGGGAAAGATTAATGACGCCCTCCCCTGAAAAAAAAATTAGGAAGGAAGTGAAGGAAATCGAATATGTCCTTAAAATTTAACTGCTGCTATATTGGCACAAGAAAATAAAGGTTAGAATGTTCAAGGTATCTGCTTTAAAGGATAGGCAAATGTTATAGGGCACTGGGAATTTTAGGAATTAGGAATTTTAAATATATATGTACTGTCACCCTTTAAAAATTACTGCATTAATTCTTCCTCAAACGGCTACCATAACCAGGATGGCTTGTTATAAAATCACAAGAGAGTAAAATGTGAATTGTAATCTTTTGTCTGGGCAACTGGATTTATTTTCAAACATAGCATTGGACTACAACAATCCCCATGTTTATTGTCTATGCATACTTGTTAGATTATGTGGGACACAAGGGCATTCTTGGATATAGGATTGGTGCCAGAAAATAGCAATTTACTTTGCAGGAGGTCAACCTCCTATTCATTTATTATCATTAAGCTTTGAAAATAAAGTTAAAGGTGAGAACATCTAGTAGGCACCAAAGGTGAAGCTACCAGCCCATAGCCTCTGGGTGGGTTGAAGTCAGGCTTAAATTGAATCCTGGTTCTCATGAGAAATTGACTCTCTGAGATAATATTATTTAAAAATGGCAGATAAACTTTGGGGTGGGGTGAAGGTGGGGTTAAAACTAGCTGAAAAGAGTTTAATGCTTTAGAACATCTTGGTGCCAGTTACATAGGTACAATTTTTGAGAGATTACAAAATAATACAACATGCCTCAAATCTCAGAAAATTCAGTCAGAATATTTGTAAACTTCTCAATTTGGACCTAATTTATCAAGAAATATTTTTCAGGTTTTCCTAGATGTGAAAGTTCAAAAGATGTGGCCATCTATATTTCCATATAGTGTTACTCATATATTGGTGTAATAATAAATTTGAAGGCATATTAACATTTATGATTTCAGCATCTCCACTTGCGGCTGCATATTGGTTTAATGTTCTTAATACAATTAAGGGTTTAATAAGAGAATAAATATCAAATTTAAAGGCACTAGTGGATTATTTTAATTGTAATCTACCAATTTATAAAAAACACTTGGATTATATTTTTTTCTTTAAAAGAGAGTACAGTACTACCCCTGGATGTCAATGGCTGATTTGAAGAAACATACTGTATGTACCCTCATTTTTTGAATTGGCTACCTATCAAACAATGAAATGACTAAAATGTTTGATTCAACATAGTCACGTTTTACTTCACTGATTAAAATGGAATACTTCTTAAAATCTATAATTGTTAGTTGATACACGGCCTTAGGTTGGAAGTGGTTGGTGCATTGACAGAGAAAGCTGAGGTCAAACCTTTGCTTATTCCTCTTTATTTAACTCTTGTAAATTTATTTGTTCTTATATTTATAATACTATATATATTTGTATTTTTATTACAAGGTAAGCTACCCAGAGTCATTTTGGATAGCAAAATGGGAAGTACATAAAACCAATAAATTAAAAAAAAATGAATTGCCTGCTGATTGTGATTTCTTTTTCTATTTTTAAAAAATTGGTTAGTGCTTTCTGCCTAATTTTATGTTTTTGCATTTTTGCACTTGGTGTGTCTTTATTTGGTATTATTGAATAGTACATTAAGAAAATGTTTTATTTCATGGAATTGCTTTTTCTATTACAAATGAATAGTGAAACCCACACTTACTTTTGGCTTTGGGGCTGAAATAAAATCAGTTTTGGTCTGATGCTGCAGGCCTGCTAAATTGCCAAATCGTTTATGTTTCCTCCATTTTGCTCGTTGATTCTGGAACCAAATCTATGTAAAAGAAAGAATAAAAAATTTAAAATTTTATTAGTGATTGCTACTACTTTTACTGCTTCTATCAGTTAGGAGGAATGTTTACATTCACAGAAAACAATAATTTCAGACTTGCCCTAAGAAATAGAAAAATAGTTATTTGACAGTATCTGACAGTTGGCTTACAATATATTTTCAGTAATTTTTATATTATATAATTTTTATATTAAACATTTTGATACGTGCAATCAAAACTTGGTATTTTGAATACTGATTTCAAATTAAATTTGGAATTCTAATTTTATTCAGAATTCTGAGATTGAAATTCAAATATTCCGAAGGAATGGGATTTGCCCACCTCATCTGTGTCAGCAGAAAGGGCATGATACAGACCCCATGGGTGAAGAATTTTGGCTAGTAGAGTCCAGGAGAAAAGTCTTTTCTGCCGTGGCTTCTGCTCTTTAGAACATTGTACCTTCCCCAGGTGAGAACCCCACCAAACACCTGATTTTCCATAAGGGCCTGAAGACCTGTTTCTACCAGTTGGCCTGGGGCCCCGACAGGGGTGCACCAGTCTGGAGGTGGCTATCAGATTAAGATAAGACCTCATTTCCCTCTGTGTACCTTATGCTTCCTTCCCCCCATTTTACAATAGCAAATTATCATTATTATCATTATTTACTGTTTTAATATTTGCTGGTTTTTAATGTTTGTAAGCTGTCCAGAGTTGCCTCTAGATGAGATGGGCAGCACACAAACCAAATAAATAAATATATTTAAACTCAGAGCAAATTTATTTTTCCTGACATTTAGTATGCCTGCTAAATTTATTTTATTCTTGAGGAATTTTGTGGGTGAAGCTTAGAATGAGTACATATGTACAGCTAAAAAAGTAGACAAAGATTAAATATGATTAAACAAACAATGGTGTTTAACAATCTGCAGATTTCCTACATCTTATACAAGAATAGAAAAATACTATTACTGGAATGATACCTTGTTTTATCTGATCATTTAACAAAGACCAAAAGATGTATTTTTAAAATCTAGTTTAAGAACTAATAAATCAATAACTGTGTAATATGGTTTTTTTTTACTTTGCTTTGCTTTCAGTATCTGGAAAATTGGGATTGGTTTGACATATTAAAATTTTCTGAGGAAATTCTATGTGGTTAAGTTTCCAAACTTATCTAAAAGTAGAAAACATTGTTATTTTATGAGGTTCATTGCTTTGCAACTAAATAAATATTGGGAAATCAATTTTTGTTACAGAGAATTTACTTTTCAAGCTTCAATAGCAACAAAAATAGAGTTCTCTGATGTATGATAACTGGCTTACATTTAATTCATTGTTATTAGTGCATACAACTATCTTAAGAATCTTTCATAAACCAAAAACTTTTCTAGATTATATATTGTGCTATAAAGTTTGTTGTAATCTGACTGGTACTTATCAGTTTTTCTCTTTTTGTTAACTTATCAATATCAATAACTAATCAGCATCTAGCTTCATTTACTCTACATTAGAAGGAAGCAGAAGTTACTTGAATTCTAGTTTCTGGAAGATTAATTTTGGCTGCCAGCTGATTGCGGATGTTGATATCTGGATAGTGTGTAGCTTGGAAGATTCTCTCCAATTCCTTGAGCTGCTCTGCTGTGAATGTGGTCCTAATTCTACGCTTCACCTTCTTGTCATCTGTACAAAAGGCAACAGATTTTAAAAGAAAAACAATCTTTTAATATAGAAAGAAAATCTAACCAGAAGAAGAACAGAACCATGTATATGTCAAATATTTTTGATAGATCTACCGTGCCTGTCTCCCATTCTGTTTCAGGATGCCTGCACAAATCCTGAGAGTTTAGTTTTGTAAATGGCCTAAACAATGCTGCCATCGGGCCTGACCCATTGTATTATGATGAATGCAAAATGGTTTCTATGCATGATCAATTGTTTATCAGAAACAAGTTATCATTCCTTTCTGTTCTGGTTGTTCAGACAGCAACCAGAATATTGATTCCAGATCTGGATGCAATATTTTGGTAAGAACATTGGCAGACTAGAATCTGATCAGAGAAGAGTAACCATAAGAGAAGAAAAAAAAATAGAAAAAGAGATTTGAGGCATTATGTATGATTAGTCTAAAGAAGACTGGCGAGGCCTGATAACTATCATCAAGTACATGAAAGCTGACATGTAGAACATTTGCAGAGCTATTTAAAGCTATTATTTAGAGAAAGAAGGATTTGAATTATGGGAGGTAGGCCAATTTTCAGTTCTAATTTCAAGATGGCCAGAGTCCTTGACTGTTCTGGGCAGTTTAAAAATAAAGAGAAAGACAAGTAGAATGGTGGTAAAAGCTATCCAACAAAGGACTAACTCTTTTAGTGCATTCCCAACTAGACATATTGATGCTCATCTGTCAGAAATGTATTTCTGCACTAGGTAGAGAGTTGGGGAAGACAATCTCCAAAATTCTTTTGAAACATGTTCTATGCTTCTAGAAGATCCATAAGATTGAGATCCAGCACAATTATAACTTACAATGGACAAGTAGCATTATTTGCTCTAATGTGTTTGGAAAAGCCTACACTTCATACAAAGATTTTGAGATAGGAAGCAATGGAACAAACAGTGCAGTTGGGTTATCCTGCTAGGATCCCACTCTAGCTTTCACATGTTGTCCTAGAATGGGGAGAAAAGTATAAATAAGGCTAACCCGAGATTATTCCAATATGTCAGACACTTAATATCCATAATGGCAATTTTACTTGGCTCCATATATATTTATTTTATACTTTTCCTGTTAATTGTTTATATGATGTACATTGCCCAAGTCACTCATTGAAATGGGCACCTTTAGAAGTCAAAGACATAAATAAATGCAAAAAATGACATAAAGCTCTGGAAGAAGCTTCTGGAAGATCAGTTCAGAAAAGCAGGCAGACCATGTAGCTGATCTACAACTTGTTACAAAAGAATGTATTTGATTTATTTTGTAATGACGCCTAATATGAATTTTCCTTTTAATCATTTTGTCAGGTACAATTCCATAAATCTTTCATACAGTAGATCTATCTTCAGTTATCTGGTTACTAAGATAAAAAGTGGTATCTACAGTTATCTGGTGTATATGGCTTTGCAAAATAATAGGCTTCAAAACAAACAGGCTTGATAAGATTCATTGTGATAATCAGAATTGAAGATAATTGGTGACAATGTTTTCAGCATAGGCTTCAATATATAATCAGTTGGGTAGAAAGAGGAACATTTTTCTTGATCTATGCTGTCATTACTATTTTAGCAAAGAATAAAAAGTCAGATTGATTGATTGATTGAATGAATGAATACAACCCATTAGTAGGAAGCTCCATCTCAAACCCTTGAACTTTTAGTATATCAAAGTACAAGTCATTAGATATTTCTCCCCTGACTACTTCCACGTCATGATTGTCAATCATGCTGAGTCTTGCTGGCATTATGACAGCATTTAACAGCTGTCTAGCCCAGTGGTGGCGAACCTTTTAGAGACTGAGTGCCCAAACTGTAACCCAAAACCCACTTATTTATCACAGGGTGCCAGGTGGGCATGGGGCTGGGGCCGCTGCTGCCTGACACTGTCAGCCCCCGCACACAGAGGCCAGCGAGCGCATGGGGGCCGACAGTGTCCGTCAGCAGCCATAGCCTGCTGGCCCCTCGACTGGCACACTCTGGGGCTCCGCAGCCCACCGCTAGCAGTTCAGAGAAGCTACCTCTAAGCTGGACGGCCAGCTGACAGCTGAGAAGGTGATGCAGTGGGTTGTGCCCAGGAAAAGGAGAGCATACAAGGCCAGGAAGGATGGGATGGGGGGGAGGGAAACCAGCCATGCTGGGATGCATCTGGCCATGTGGGACCTCAGTGAGTTAGCGGATGGCTGGTTGGAGAGGGACAGTTGCCATCTCCGGGGCATGGCACGCATGCCCACAGAGAGGGCTCTGAGTGCCGCCTCTGGCACGCGTGCCATAGGTTCGCCACCGCTGTTCTAGCCTTTTCAGAGGGTCCTTAAGACCTACCTTTTTACTGAGGATTGAGGAATGTCTAAGTGGATTATATGGTAGGAGGGCAATAGAACCTGCTATAGAGGATTCCAAGGGCACAGAGTTTGTTTAATTATCTTTTATCTATTATTTATTATTCCCTATTTTTACTTTTATTAATGGTTTATGTATCAGTTTCATTGTTTTTTAGAGTTACACAGAATTTGGCAGAATTGAGCAGCATAAATATTTTAAAGAAAGAAAAAGAAAGGAAGGAAGGAAGGAAGGAAGAAAGGAAGGAAGGAAGGAAGGAAGGAAGGAAGGAAAGTATGCTGTGATTAAGAACTGAGCAAATGTTCCTTGTGTGTACATTAAAAGCAATAATCCTGAAGCTGTAATATTATTGAAAGAAACTGTTTTAGAACACAGGTGTCAAACTCAATTGTGTCATGTGACATATTGCAACATATCGCAACATTTTTTGCCTTTGTGGAGCTGGGGTAGGTGTGGCCTGTGCATGACGTATCCGGCCATCAGTATGACACCCCTATTTTAGAAGAAGAGTTTAATCTATATCATCTAACTGATAGGCTTCTGTATTGTAAGAAGGAAAGATATTCTTGCACGGAACCCACAGCAGGAATCCAAGAGAGAATTAATTGGGTTTTTTTGAGGAGATCTATCAGGATGCAAATTGCCAGTAGTTTTGTGGGGGATGGGTATTAAGAAAGAGAGGGCTGCCTCCATCTATCATGTTTACTGTTAACCAAACACCACAAAGACTTCTTTTATTTACCAGCTGCACTCATTCTGAGTAATCAGTTTCAAGCAGTGATGCAGCTATGTCATTTTAGATCAAAATTTTACAGAAATGTATGTCCTCGGTACAATGCTTTAAATAACAGATAGTGGAGGGATATATATATATATATATATATATATATATATATATATATATATATATATATACACACATACACACACACACTATTAAAACAATGATCACCAAGAGAATGCTTTAAGACAGCAGTTCTCAACCTATGGGTCACGACCCCATTTGGGGTCGAACGACCATTTTACGGGGGTTGCCAAACAACGCGATCCGCCATTTTTCCCCCTCAAGTGGCGGCGCTGCGCATGCACGCTGCGTATGGGGGCGCACCACGCATGCGCACCACGCATGGGGGCAGCCCCGTGCATGTGTGCCACGCATGGGGGCGCTCGGCGCATGCACGGCGCGCGGCGCATGCACGGCGTATCCATGTGACCGGGGGTCGCCGTATAAAAAGGTTGAGAACCACTGCTTTAAGAGAATAAAATTTAATTAACCAACCTAGCTTTCATCAAAATACATTTGACATTGTTAGGGCTAAAAGGCAAGTATAGAGAGTAAACTTATATACCGTTATCAAGCATCCTGTTATCAAGCGTCTGCTTCCAGCTCTTAGAGCGTGTCATTGGCCCCAGCTGTTCAAAATGTAACCCAAGCATGCCTCCTTTAATACACATTCTTTTGTTCCTAGCTCGCATTCCCTCATACACCACTTGATCGGTAGCTTCGGGATTAAGTGGATTCAGGATTAATGTTAAGGGAACATTTTGAACTGAAGCTATTGGTGATTGCCTGGCATCACACATTCAAACAGTGGGCCCAATGGCCAGGAAAGTCTGCTGTGGACTTTATTACTGCTTTGCGACAAGCTGCAAGGTCCTTGAGGAATGGCTGCAAGATCGGCTAGTTTGTGGTTTGAGGAGCCGTGAGCTGCAACAAAAGATTTTTGCAAAGGAAGACATTTCCTTCCAGGATGCACTAAGGGAAATCACAGCCAACGAAGCAGCGGGAGGTTCAGTCAAGGCCTTGCAGCTTTCCAAGCATCCTACGAGTTCAGGGTCCATCCATCAAGAGGTTGCTCGAGAGGTAGCTGAACCAGGTTCCATCTATAGCAGCCAGTGGAAAGAAAGCCCCAAGAGTGAGCTGACAAGGGGGCTGACAAGGCAGTTCTATTCCCTCAGTGTTTTGGATGTAGAGGATGCCACAAGGGCTCCAATTGCCATTTCTGCTCTGCTATTTGCCGGGCATGTGGCTGGCAAGGCCATATAGCCGCTATCTGTTTGAGTCACAAGAAAGACCGTCCATTGGAAGAATTGCCTCGGAAATATATCAGGGTCCCCAGCCAGAATAGGGTGGGTTTCTGCGCGTCCCATAGGCGTGTTTTGAGAACTGGGGCCCACCGCCCATTGAAGAAAAAGCTGTGCATTGATGTCAAATTGCAGGGGGTCCCCTTAACAATGGAGCTGGACATGGGTTCAGCTCTGTCAATCATATCCCAGGACACCCTCAAGCAAATCTGCTGTAGAAGCGGCCAGCGAGTTAAACTCAGGCCATCGAATCTGGTCTTAACAGATTTTCAGAATTTCTGAGTCAGGGTGAAAGGGGAGGCCACGCTTAAAGTGCAGAGTAGGCAATTCAAAGGGTTTCTGGACGTTGTTGTGTAGAGGGCGACCACACAAGTCTAATTGGACTCAATTGGTTCGAGGCACTTGGGACTCAAGTGACTGGGCTACATAGCTTGCAAGTGGCAGACCTTGCAGAAATTTGCAAGGAGTTTGCTGATGTGTTTAGCCCAGAACTAGGGTCATACAAGGGGCCTCCAATTGCCTTGCGGTTGGACCCATTCATT